TAGAACTCTCATTTTTTTATAGAAAAATAAAAAAAGTGGGATAATTTCGTACCATTATCCCAATTCTAATTTTGTTAGAGTTCTACAGACTAACACTGTAAAATTTTATTCTAGTTTTAGTTCTATGTGACTAACACCTTAAAAATTTATCCCATAGATTATCCCAGTTCCAATTTTAAGTTCTTGGTAACTAACCCCCCTTAGATAGATCTAAGTGTTGAGGGCTAAGGGGTATTTATATGAACTTAAGACAACAGCCCAAAACTAAGCAAACAGACAAAAACCCCAAAAATTCGGGTCTAGAAAAACTAGCCGTTAGCTTGCAACGGTTGCAAAGTTGGTCGACCGGTGGACAACAGTCGGTCACCGGTCAACCGTAGAGTGTCAATTGGTCGACCGAAACAAGTATGTTGGTCGACTGAAGAACCCTGAGAAAAATGCTAAAAAACCTAACTCTGGTCGGTCGACCAGAGCCGTGTGTTCGGTCGACCGAAAACTGATACATGGGATTTTCAGAAACTGTTTTGCAGAAAATAATTTTTGAAGTGCCTTTAAAAATAGCAAATATATTTTAAAAATATAAAACTTTGGGAAATATTTATAAACATAAAAATGAACATGTTACAAAAAGAATTTTTATAATTACACTTCCCAATTGTGAAAACTCATCATTTTGAAAATTAGGTTAAAATACGTAATGTCAATACACTTGTTTTTGATATTTTGACTTAAACAAAGTTTTGAAAACTCTTGTATGGATTTAGAGTTTGATATTTTGACTTAAACAAAGTTTTGAAAACTCTTGTATGGATTTAGAGACTAAATAAAAGATGTAAACTAAGATTATTTAAAACTCTTGTATGGATTTAGAGACTAAATAAAAGATGTAAACTAAGATTATTTAGTCCATAAATCAATATCACAAAGTTTTATAAAAAATACACATATTTTGTAATCTTTCAAAACAATAAACATGATTTCAAATCTTGATCTTAAAGAAATCATATCAAGCACATATAAACATGAAACAAATATGAGTGTATACAATTTGTATTCATTTGTTTCATATTTATGTGGATAAAATTGAAAGCAATAAAAACGGAAAGCAATGTGTGTGAATAGTTTGAGCTTTAAGTATAATCACACAAAGTATAAACATATAAACTAATATACCAAGCAATGGATCTTCAATTTGATTGTCTTGGTTACGAATAAAGCGATATTGGATCTTAACTTGAAATACGATGGCTTCATTCTGAAATTCCTTCCATCCTCCAATGGATATGTGTTGGCCTTCTTATTTTGATGATATTTAACAAATAATTTACCACTAACGTTATTTGTTTAGTGTCTGTGATTTTTTATTTATTGTAGACAAACAACAAGTTAGAGGATGGATGGAATAGAACCTCAATGATCATATTCAATGGATGTTGGCGGAATAGTAGAGTGAAGCCTATGCATTCAAGTCAAGATCCAAGTTCAAACTTCTTCCGCAATGTTTACGAAGAAGAGCTTCATTGAAGATCACAAGTTTTGGTAAATTAGTTTAGATGTTATATTATGTGTGTTCAATACTTCAAGCTCAATTTCATACACACACATGTTTATTTTGATTTATCATTGTTTTGGATTATAGACTTATTAATATGATGATATATCTTTTATCAAGTCTATAAACCTATTGGAAAGTATTTTGAAACTTGTTTGGAATGAATTTGTCAAAATCAAGTTTTAACAAGTTTTGTTCGTGCATGTTTAAAGTTCATGTTCGTGCATGTTTTTACAAAACAGATGAGTTTTTACAATTGGGAAATACAATTTGAAAAATTTCTTTATACACATGTTTATATTCATATATACAAATATTTCCCCAAGTTTTACTAATTTTAGACTTGTTTTGTTATTTTCACATGTTTATATTCATATATACAAATATTTCCCCAAGTTTTACTAATTTTAGACTTGTTTTGTTATTTTCAATTGAATTTACAAAAACGAGTTTTCAGCAGTTTTTCAGAAACTGTATATCTTTGTTAAAAAAAGTTATTTATCACAAATGGGAAGTGATATTTCATAAATTCTTTCTCTGACATGTTTATATACATGTTTTTAAACTTCCCTCAAAATTTCATGATTTTTGGAGTTTTTTTACTGTGCCCAATTGATTTTACAAAATCGTGTATGTCAGCAGATTTCGGAAACTATATATCTGTGTTCAAATAATTATTTCTCATAAATAGGAAGTGATATTTAATAAATTCTTTCTTTGACATGTCTTTCTATATGTTTAGATACTTCCCTAAAAATTTCATAATTTTTAAAGTTGATTTATTATTTTTAATTAATTTTACAAAGCCAGATACACAAATTTCCAGAATGCTGGATTTTGGGTATTTTGGTCTTTTCACCCTATAACGGCTAGTAACAGCTAGAAATGGCTAGTTTTTGTTTTGTGGTGTTTTTGGCTGATGTTTTGGGTTATTATAAATACCTCATTGCATTCAACTCTCCCACCAATAAAAGAGAAAAGTTTTAAAGAGTTTTATAAGTTTGTTTAAGGGTTTCTAAGTGAGTTTAAGAGTTTGGTTTGTGAAGATATTTTCACAAGAGCTTGAGGAGATAATCTTTTGGTGTTTAAACCTTCAATTCATCTCCCTCTCTCTTGTCATCCATTGGAGAAGTTTTCTAAACTCTATATCTAGCTTTATATTCATTTGTTTAATTATCATTTATCAATGCTAGTTTTTATATTGAGTTTAGATTTGGTTTTCTCATTGTTACACACACTCACTTGAGCTTTTAGTATTTACATACATAGTATAATTGGGGTTGTGAGAGATTGTAACATTAAATTGTGCTAAATTGAGTTCTCATCTATTGTAGAGAATAATTTATTTGTATTGTGAGCCTAAATTGTGAGATCACATTGCATTACACTAGTACACCGAGAGGAGTGTGTGGTGAGAGACGGGGTTGTCCCAAAAGGAGTGGTGTTGGTAGTAAAAGCCTAGAGAGAGGTAGTAAATCCGAGTACTTGAGGGAGACACGGGCTAGAGACCAACACTTGAGGTGGTAATTAGTGTGTATACATTGTGAGTGTTGTAGAGTTTTTGGTTAGCTAGAAAACCGAGTAGAAAACCGAGTGCGTAGAATTTTCGGTTAGCTAGAAAACTGATTGTGTAGAGAAGTTCCGGCTTTCAAACCGGGTGTGATGATAGTGGAGATCTCCTCAAGGTGAGAAGGGGAGACGTAGGTCGTGGGGACAGAACTTCGTGATCATATTGATTGTTTGAGTTTGTCATTGGCGTTCTTTTACATTCATGCTTATTGTTTATATCGCCTTTGTCATTTTCTCTTAGTTTATATTGTCCACTATCTTGTTTATCTTGTTTATGTTTATATCACCCTTAGTTTCATATCCTTACATATATATCTCATAATATATCTCTTTGCTAGGATATATCCATTTGTTCATATTATTTATTCTTGCACATAACTCTTGTATATCTATCTTGCAAGAATAATTTATTTTAATTGGCATAAAATCGGATTAGATTAGCATAAGACCCTATTCACCCCCCCTCTAGGGTCCAACAATATCATCGTGTAAGCGCAAGTCCATCCAACCTCAAATTTGTTGTTTGTCTAGATTACCTAATAGGCAAATACAAACACTAAACAAACGATATTAGGGATTGTTTATAAATCATCAAAACAAGATTAGATAGTAGACTCATAAATGTGAGTCCTAACACTCACTCACCAGCTAGGACGACTCGAGCACCACAAGCACTCATCTTTTCCCTGGTAGGTTCGAGTCGAGACAGACTCTCACTTGACCTCATCAGTTTAGTCGACCACCCTCATTCCTTTAGAGTCAGGTAGACAACTTGCGAGGCCAACAAGAAAGACGATACTTATTGGCCCACTTCTAGAGCTGAGTCAAGAGGCAGTTCGTCTTCAAACTCTGTACCAACAGCTGCCCATCACCATCATGGCTAGTGCCCCTAGCATCCATGACTCATTATCTATCGTCATCGCCATATCCTCTCCATCACTGGTATACCAAATCAAGGGTGACTCTTCGTACAACCAGTTGTCACCTGTAAAGCTATTGCCAGCCTAACTTTTTGCCTGGACTTGGACAATTACACATTTACCCCTCTTAGCTAGGTACATATATGAGCTCATCGCCTACTGATTTCCTCTCTGATCCATAGGTCTCCTTTGGGGCCACATGTATGAAATTTCTATATGGAACTTATTCAGTTTATTTGTTTCTTCTCCACTCAAGTTCAAATACTAACTTGACCGTCGGAGGAATTACTAGAGAATCCAACTCCGCCGGTCCTCTAACATATCTATTCTGCAACTTATTCATCTTAGATAGGGGTTTAGTTGCCTAAGGGGATGAGGGAACCCACACTGTACATATCGACCCTGGGATTCCCTGCTAATCTCGCTGCTGAGTTTCAGGACATCAATAATCCTAAATTATAGACAACGCCTATAATTATTTAGCCGATCAATAATAGTTCATTCAATGAGCTCCCCAAATAAAAATATTTTTCTTTAGTAATTTATTTAATTAATGTAATTCATGAAGCATATAGAATGAGAAGAGTTTATTAGTGCACTGTAGGCAACTCTATAATAAAGGATGCAGAGGATATGTAAAGAAGCTCAAAAACTAGAGTTCAATGATTAAAAAAAATCTGAAAAAATCAAAGTTTCCTCGAGATTACAGTAGACTAGCTCATGCTCACTCCTACAACATGTAGTATAGAGCCCATCGTCTCTAGCCTGATTATACAGCTCGTCCTCATCTACAGTACTAGTAGGTTATGGATATTTTTCATTTTATTTTATACGTAGGTTAGCTTCTTAAGAAATAGTTATAAATTATAGATGATGAGCATTTCTTGTAATTTATTATATCATTAAAAAGAGAGAGAGACAAATGAACAATCCACCACGCAAAACGCAGCCCAGGCCTCACCCAATTCACAGTATTCGCCCTGCATTTTCTCTACAGAGGAGTGTTCCTAAGTCCTAAGAAAGCATCGTATTTGGAGCTCAATCTTCTCTCCGCTATGACCCGGTGCCGTTCATCTTTGCACAGTTCGGCAACCAAATTCAGAGAGCAAACCGAGCAGCAGCAAGAATCAAAGACAAGGAAATGATGCCTGATGTGCTGGAAAAGGGCAGAGCTTCTTGCTACAGGGTACTCTGTCTCTATCCCTCTCTCTCTCCTCTCACAAAATCGAAATGAATTTAGGCGCGTGACGCTTTCTACACGTGCTTAGAGAAGGCAGCCGACATGAAGCCCGCCGAGATCGCCACCGTCAGTCTTCTTTACCCCGCCGATTGCAAGAAACTGAGGGCCCAATTCGTCAACCAACACCGGCCCACCTGGGTAATTTTCCAAAAAATTTGACCCTTTTAATCCTACATTATTTCAGAATCGTTCTTATAGGTCTAATGAGCTTTACCTAGGCGCTTTTTGATTGATCGATTGAGTGAATAAGCAGGTGAAGCAATTCGATCGGCAGTACTGCAGGAAGAAGAGGGTGATGAGGCTTCTTGACGACGAGGGATCGCGGAGAGGTCCTACTTCCCTTCCTCAGCCTTACATTTTCAAACCCTAATCCCTAATTTACTTGCATTGTTGCTCTTTGTGTAGAGTTCAATTAGCAAGTGGTGCCTGATATTAGGTGGTTTGTTAAAGCAAGGTTATTTTACATTAACGTATATTAAATTCCTGGATAATAAGTTGTGAAAAATCTGTAGTAATTTTTTTTTGTTTGCTTGCTATCTGCCCTTGAGTAATTTGGCAATGCTGGTTATTTATTTGATATTGGCATGTTGGGTTCTATCCTTTACCTTAAAAACTTAACTTGTAAGAATTCAATTCAATGTTTTAGATAATTAACCTAACAAGGGTAACAGAGCAATGTCAAATAGAATCAGTTGTTGCCTTGGAAATATGAAGTGTGCCGCTTTTCCATCTGTATATAAATCTGATGATAGGGTATTTCAGTACAACTTGATTCTTGCTTTGGGATGCCTCTTAGATTACCTTTTTTTTGGGGTACAACAACGAAGGGGGAAAAAAGCAAAGTAAACATCAAGAAAATTGTCAGACGACACCATCATAGGCCATTTCTTACCCTAATTATCCTGAGCAATGAACTGGCAAATTCCATCCGGCATATCATAGAGGACTGCATGACGAAGATACCATTCAATTTCTAATCCTAGGCATCCATCAAATTAACTTGTTTTTTTTTCAAAGACAAAACGTAGTAATCATTATAATAATAATAAATCAAGATCAAGAAGAATATGTTCCTCTCGTGCATGTGATCCATCATATCACACATTACTATGTCTTAGAATCCGCAATGGTTGATGACTAATAATTTCTTTAGCATTGTAACTATGAATGACATATCTCCATTGTAGAGATGGAGCTCAGAAGCGGATTCAGGCAGCAGACAGATTGGCGGTCAACCGCGACGGTCGACCGCGTTTGTGCACGAGGCTTACTGGGCATCGGGATTGGTGGCGGTCGAACCGCGCGGTCGGCGCGGCAGAAGTTAGTTGTTCTGTGGGGCGGTCGACCGCCGTGGCGACCGCAGAAGTCTTTGGACCTCAGGTGCTATTCTGGATTGAGGGCGGTCGACCGCCGCGGTCGACCGCCGCTGCGGTTATGGGCTGGGTCTGTTTCTAGACCCGTTTCGTTTGGGTTTTCTATAAATACCCAAATACGATTCAAGGGTTTGTAAGGCAAGTGTTTTGAGCTGTTGAAAGGAATTTTCTTTAGGCTTCTATTCAAGGAGCAATTGGTGAGATCAAGAGTTGATTTGTTGAGGGTTTATGAGAGATTTGTAACCCTAGTTGTATCCCCTTGATTTCTAATAGCAAAAACTCTCACCTCCTTGCCCCGTGGACGTAGGCATCTTGCCGAACCACGTAAAACCGGTGTTTGTACTCTTGTTGGTGTGTTGGTTTATCTCTTTTGGCTATTTGGTTGGATCTCGGCATAGGGGTTTCTCCCCAACAATTGGTATCAGAGCTCCGGGCAACGCTTGGGCTTTTTTGGAGGTGTAGATCAGTTGGAAAGTTCATCTAGAGCTTCGATTGGTGATAAAGGTGGAATCTTTATGGTAAAGTTTCTATCTTTTTCAAGTTGGATCTATTCCTTATTTGTTCCGCAATTGTTTGGGTACTTTGAGATATATGGCTGAAAATGATAAAAGTGGGGAGGGTTCTTCTAGTGGGAAGGCCGTCCAAAGTTTGAATATACATTCTATGAAAATAGATGTGGAAAAGTTCAACGGCACAAATAATTTTGGACTTTGGCGATGTGAAGTCATGGATGCGCTAAATGCGCAAAATCTGGAAGATACGTTAGAGTTGGACGGGAAACCGGCCAAAATTGATGATAAGGTTTGGAATAAAATGAATAGAACTGCGTGTGGTGTGATTAGGTCTTGCCTTACCCAAGATCTAAAATATGATGTGATGAATGAAACTTCGGCAAAGAAGATTTGGGAGGTCCTAGAGGGCAAATATTTGACAAAGAGCGTCGAAAATCGTGCGTCGAAAATCATTTGCATCTGAAGAGGAGGTTTTATGCTTCCAATTGAAGAAGGGGACATCCATTAGTGATCACATGAACCACTACACGAAGCTACTTACAGATTTGACGAACGTAGATGTCATTGTTGAATATGAGGATAAAGCATTGTTGTTATTGAGTTCCTTACCCAACGAGGAATATGAGACCTTCATCCTCACTCTTATTAATGGGAAGGCATCTCTTTCGTATAGTGAGGTCACCGCAGCCCTTGTGAACTATCAACTTCGAAAGAAGGACAAGGAGACTTTCATTGAGCCGGTTGCGGGGGCATTGGTTGCAAGAGCTAGAAGTCCAAACCGTGGGAGGAGATCGCAGTCTAGAGGGGGCATCCTGCAGTTGGTAGGAATCAATGTGCCTTTTGTAGAGAAGATGGACATTGGAAACCGAATGCCCAAAATTACAAGCCGTGAAGAATAAGGGGAAAGTTATTCAAGCTTCAGAGGTAAATGTTGCCAAGGCTAGTGGTGACATTTCAGATTCAGATTCTTTGGGCTATTCATGCCCAGCTCTTCCGTCAGTTGGTGTTGCCGACTCCACCGAGTGGATGTTAGATTCGGGTGCTACTTACCACATATGCCCTAGGAGGGATTGGTTCTCCAGCTTTTAGGAGTTGGAAAGAGGGAATGATGTTCTTATGGGTAATGATCACAGATGCCCTATTGGTGGTATTAGTACCGTTCGGATTAGGACCAGTGACGGGATGAATCGGGAGTTGGTTGATGTGAGGTTCGTTCCTCAACTGAGGAAGAACATTATTTCACTTAGGGTATTGGAGGCAGCAGGCTATAGGGTGACCTTAGCAGATTCTCGCTTGAAGGTCACATCGGGGTCCATGATTGTTATGAAGGGTGTCAGGAGGAGTAACTTGTATTATCTGCTTGGGAGCACGGTGATTGATAGAGCGCTGACGACTTCTTTGGCTAGACTGTGGCATTGTTTGGTGCTGGGATATATTATTGGTTATGCCGTGCACAAATTGTTGAGGAGTGCTATGACCTACAGATTGAAGTCCTGTGAGCACATTGGGATGAGCGAGGAGACCGAGGTGGAGTTCAGCACTTCTATCCACCGATCGAGGGGTCTTATTGGAGGTGTTCAGTCAGGCATTGGGGGGCCTTTCATGTATACATCATTGGGAGGTAATCGTTCTTTTGTTTCCTATGTTGGGGATATTACTAAGCATGTTTGGGTTGCAACCAAGTCCCGTTGGTATAAAGCCCTAGTAGTCCGCAACAGTTGGAGGAGGTGTATGGCCAGAGAGGTTACCCGTCGTACTAGTTCTAGTAAGGGTTCTTTCTTGCATTGGTGCCGAGCTCATGGCAGTTGGAGACACTTCAGAGGAGAGGAGACAGTGGGGCGACGTGATGAGATGGCGGATTTAGTGGGCCGTTCTTTTCTGGAGGAGGATCGGCGTTGGTTGTCGAGCAGTGGTTTTAGTATTCGGGCTTCGACACGATTGGGCTATCTTATGAGGTTGTCGATTGCTACGTGTAGAGTTGTTAGATCAGGTGGAGCTGCTTCAGATTTTGGTCGGCGTCAGATATTTGACTACCCAGCACTTGGTCACATCGTTGATGTGAGATTGGATCCGATTGCGCATTTGGGATTCAGGAGTTCATTTGGCTATCAGTTGGGAGCTTCTGAGTTTGGTCTGAGCAGGTTTGTCACTTTGGACTCTTAGCAGGTAGAGAGTATTGATCAGATCAGATGGATACCGCAGCGGGTGGAGGTTGATGCTACTCCACATCGGGTGGAGCTTATTCCACATACTCCGAGTCATTTTGCATTAGTTGGAATTCTGGCTGAGGTGACACAGTTTGGGGATCAGATTATTCAGGATGCAGATGACGAGTTGGTAGATCCGAGTGCAGCTGGTGGATATAGCTTGGATACGGCCATTGTTTCACCTTAGGTGGAGGTGTTTGGATCGCTTCAGTTTGGGGTCGTTGATGATGCTATCAGCCGCAGTTTAGACTGAGGGCCTTTGGAGGCCATGGGTGAACTACGTGAAGGTTTGATTCCTTGAAGAGGATACGTAGGCAGTCAGTTATGATACAGCCGATTTGGTGAGTAGACACAGTTGTTTTGGGGTGAGTGTTCGCACTCCTGTTTGGGTCTCGACATGTTGCGGATGGGGTCCGTTGTCATGAGTCCGTTACCATGGCGTACTAGATGCAACAAGCGAGGCATTGGTTTGGTTGGTGTCGGCTCAGTTTTGGAAGAATCTTCGCCGAGGTGGAGATTTGTAGAGATGGAGCTCAGAAGCGGATTCAGGCAGCAGACACATTGGCACTGCGGTTATGGGCTGGGTCAGTTTCCAGACCCGTTTCGTTTGGGTTTTCTATAAATACCCAAACACGATTCAAGGGTTTGTAAGACAAGTGTTTTGAGCTGTTGAAAGGAGTTTTCTTTGGGCTTCTATTCTAGGAGCAATTGGTGAGATCAAGAGTTGATTTGTTGAGCGTTTTTGAGAGATTTGTAACCCTAGTTGTATCCCCTTGATTTCTAATAGTGAAAAACTCCCCCCCCCCCCACCCCCCCCCTCCTTGTCCGTGGATGTAGGCAATCTGCGCCGAACCCGTAAAACTGGTGTTGATTGTGTTTGTGCTCATTGTTGTGTGTTGGTTTATCTCTGTTTTTGGCTATTTGGTTGATCTCGGCATAGGGGTTCTCACCGCAACATCCATTTCTTTCCTCGATTTGTCACCGTTTCTCTTCAGTATCTATAGGACTCTTTAGTAAGTTGTGCTCTCTTATCATTTTATTAACTTTTCCATTGGCGAGTTCTACTTGTAAGATGAAATTCTTCTGCTCTTGTCTAAATTTAAATAAATAATAAACAAAGGGGAGCTTCTGCATACACACTTTGTTTTCTCAACGCTATATATCTGTTTAAAGAAATCCTGAGATGTTGGGATGAATCTAGAAAGCGGGCATCTTATAGCCTTCTTGTAGCAACGATCTTCTCGTGTTCTCTCTTTTTTTTTGATGAAAGATCTTCTCATGTTTTGAGCAATAATCTCATTATATAGGAATACTAGATAGGTTGTGAAGAGGGGCCTTCTATTATTGCGAACAGACGCGCCTGGTTAGTATCACCGTCAATTGCAAAGAGATCCCGCCGTAGTGCTATTTGTTGCGAATGTAGGCCCGGCTGTAGTTTCTACTTGTTGCCGAATAGACCACACCATTGCAGTATTGCGCGAAGTCCAAATAACATTCTCTTAGTGAACTTATTTTGATCTTTAAAAGGTTTTTTATCAATGGTGTCTATCCTCACGAAATAGAATATTGGGGCTATCCGCCTCTTAAACAATTTTAAGATAAAAAATATCGGCTCAGGGGTCATATTCGCGAACAAGTAGCCGTAGGACTATAAGGGTCTAGTTCGCACAAAATAGAACTAACAAAGGGTCTCTTTCAGCAGTTAGGTGTCCTAATATGGGTGTCTGTTTACAATTAAGACGCTTTTGCTCGCCATTGGATTTTCTATGAAGAAGGTCGCATCTTCATTAGATCGATAATAACATATATTTACTAGACTATGAATCAATTGCCCGCTTGAGATGCTCAATTATAAAACATATATGCACCCCTATAACATAATGTCCCCCAATGAAAGTTTATTTTCTAAATTTGTTAGAGATTAGCAATGGAAACATAGTTTAGGTAATATAGTGTATCACGAATTTTTGTGATTAATCTGTAGAATCTTTGCCTCGCATTGGAGTTTCTTAGATGTCAATTCTTCCTAATGCATAAAGCGGTAGATGTTTATTCTTTATAAATGCATGTGCAAGGAAAAGCCGGTATGGCTGAATGAAGCCTGAGGTACGCGTATAGTTACCTAGATGAAATATAGCAACTTGTGCTTTGATTTTGCGAGTATTAACTTGTTCCTGCTACCAGTGGCTGGGTAAATGTAAGTATTCTAAACTACTATGGTTATTAAAATTTGGGCAATCTTTGATTTGTGAATATGCTTAGAACGGACAGTTTTAACGGTGAATGAACTCGCGCAACTTAAAATCTGGCTGCTCGAATTTGGTACTTTCGAGCTTCTCTTTTGAATTGGTGCCTGAGCGAGTTCAGCATTTTCCCCCTTACCTCTTTGGGAATTTTTTTCAGGCAGAGTGGGTGGCATGGGAGACGGGGGTGTGGGCATTGTGTGTGAAATTTGATGGTGGACTACTGGTTGGCTTCTAAAGTTGACAGGCTGCTCATTTTTTTTTTTGTTTCGAAGAAAGGGGATGCGGGGGAAGAGAGCAAAGAGCAGGAGAGAAGGAGAGAGGAAGGTGGGAGCAAGAGACGAAAGCAGGGGGGAGAGGAAGAGGGAGTGAAAGACGGGGGGGAAGAACGCGAAAAC